GGCCTATGGTATATCAACAGTATTTCGTCCGTTAGATTTTTTGAACGATAAAAGTCAGTCACTCAATAACTGATTAGCAAATTACTCCAGTCATTTTTAGCGAGTTGTTTTATGCCTATCCCTAGGTACAATTAGTCTGCGGTATATAACACAGTTCGTGGCGTGTGTGTTAGGGCTGAATGTTCACCATTTATGTGCACATAAAGAACATAGTTGAGTTGACTTGTATTATTGATCCCCAGACGGCCGGTGTCCGGGAGGAAATAAAAACTCCTAGGAAGAGATTATTTCAACGAGAAAACGAGTTGGACTAATGGCGTACAGCCGAAGTATCAAGTGGTTTCAGGTACATTCGCGTACATGACATGACGCATGTACCAAGCTTTACACTGGCTTGCGGAACTAAATTAATCAGGGCAGTTGAAATTGCTGGGTTGACCTATAAATGTCCAATGATTGTACACCAGTGTTACCCGTTTCTACAACACCCTTTCACCACAACGTGTTGTCTTTTGGTTTCAGCCGGTGTTCGGAGTTAACGGAGGACGAAATCAGTCCAACCAGAATCGTATACGAAAAAGCATATGTAACAGACTGAAATGCACATTGTGACCGTTTACTTGAGTAGTGGTCTGACAAAACGGCACAAGTTACTATAGTAAGGTAACGGCAGTACGCCGGTACGCAGTAATGACGCTTCGCCGCCCCTTAACCTCCACCAGTCGCACTGCGAGGGCCGCACAGTCACTACACAAGCTCGAACCTGCGCCCTCAAATTACAAGGAAGGCTTGTGATCCTTAAGGCTACGGATCGGTAGGTACTGCTGCATGCGCCCCGCAATCATCCACCTTCTAGTGGATGTCGAACTCCACAGATGTAAAGTGGTTTTCCAGCAGAGGGGGCTATTTTGCAGCCAGGGAAGTATATTTCCGGTGTGGTCCTATGAAAATTCTGATGTAAAGTTAGGTAATTCTGGAACAAACGATCTATTGATGAAAAGCAGCGGAAAAATACAGCACAGCAATTTCAGGTAAAAGTTGTGCAGGCAAAAATCACCGACAGCGACGTGATTCCACTAGTGCTGTTATCGTTTGTATCCAGTTAATAATCACCAATTAATGGAAAACATTTTGACCCGGTCAAGAATCCATGAGTTAGGAGATTTGCGAAGAATCAGTTGCTTGAGTTTTGTGGCTAAGTTTCGTTCTTGGCAAAAGATCTGGCTCGAAAAAGCTAGTATCAATAGCGAAACGTAGTCAAATGAGTAAATCAACCGACTTTTCAATTAAACAACCCACTGAGGTTGCATTCTTTGAAGATCCGCGTCCCGCCTCACTAGATACAAGCGCACAAGTACATTCACCAGTAGATGCATCATCCGCACCGGGCACCCCAGATCCCTGTTATGCTACAACCTGCAAAACCAAACTCAAAACCGGATAACCAATTGATGTGGTAGGCAAGTCAAACGTCAGATCTGCTTTTCAGGTTTTGTCAACGTTCGTTATCTGCCAGAACATGCGAGCTTCCAGCCATTTATGGCAGTTGCGTTTTATTCATAAACGATGTGTATAAAGGCAGAACACACAAAAAATGAGAAAGCAAAAACCGTACTTTCATTTCGTATACTAGTATCGTTTTCCATTCGGCGTCGAACCGCCTCTCCCGACCAACTCCCACTTGCCCGGTTTTACATACCAGAACCCAAGTTACCCAAAAAAACCACGGCATCACCTGGCCTGGTTTCCATGGCGGCAGCCCCATCATCTTGCTTTCAAGCGATCGCCATCCCCGTTCTACAGGTGATACGAGAGTCGCCTGCCGGAGCTTGTCTTGTAATCTGCGGAGCGGAGTCGACTCTGCGTAGAGGCAGGGCGACCCTTGCAGTATCCTTAGCACACATGTGACCGGTGGTGGTTGCGCGGCAGAGAAGCGTCGGTACTGCCGATGCCCTTCTACATCTGCTTTGGCCCATGAGAGCTTAGCAAGGTTTTTCCTACTAGGATACCTGGAATTCTCCGAAGTACCAGGACCATATTGGCCAAGGGACTGGGGTGCGGTGGTGAGAGACACCTCCCAAGCGCATCGTCTGGCTTGTAGCAGAGGAAATGCCCTGTAGGCAATTTCCTGGACTAGCCAGCTGTTGAAGTCCGGTGAGCTCACCAATGATGCACTTCATTCCAATCCAATAATAACAAAGTAGCCTAAATCCAGCGACCTCCACACTCCCCGCTTGTCTAACGCCGCCCACTGAAAATGCTACCCTACACCCCACTTGACATGTCTATCGATGGCTTTCTTTATCCAATCTTCTAGGGGGCAACCCCTGTTGTGAATATGAAACATCCACGCTTTCAGTATTTGGAGATATGGTATTTTATTCTTGTTTATATCTTCCCCAGACTAACTAATGGTACATTCCGAGAGCGCCGTACGCTATTGCCTGTTCTTGCGTAATTGCTCTCCATTCTTTGTAGCCCTTGTCAATTCACGTTGAGCCCAATTGATCGAACGGTTCTCCACGCCTCTCTCGTGCCACCGCTTGCGACTAGCAACCCCACAACCTTGTGACGGTAGGGAACGGCGCAGATTGGATGGTCTATTTTACCGCATTTCATACAATCTGTACGTGTGGATGCACTGGATGGGGAAAGTTTGCCGATCAGTAACATACAAACTTACGTATCATATTTCCAGAGGAAAAAGGTTGGAAGGGGCTAAACGCGGATGAGTTTTCAGGTACTCTGATGAAGGAGGCTACACGCTGCTTCCCACAATAGCTTCTTCCTACTGGAATGAATAAAAAATAAATCGTCGGCTGTACGACGCAACGGCTCTTCGCTGCTGCGCGACCAACACAAGTCGCGCGTGGGCCGAGAATACCAGGACGCCCGCCCCTACGCGGATTCGAACCGGTGACCTTAGGATCGCAAGTCAGGCGTGTAGAACACACTGCCACTGGCCGACTATTGGGATAGCAGTTTTTCTCTTGATCCATCATCTGTAATTTCTGCCAGCAGACACTGAATCTCCATGATCTCTTCAGAACATGTAATAAGAGTACTCTGGGGTAGCTCGGTGAATGAATGCGATAAAATCGTTTATAGTTTCTCCGCGTTGCCGATGTCATTAAAAAACTGGGAACAAACAGAAAACACATTGTTGAATCCCCCATAGCTCCTCATCTGTGAAGTAATGGTTTTATCCATTACACTCACGGCACCAGAACCAAGTGATTGGCAAAACAACATTATCCAGTGAAGTTGCGACGACGTAATTGAGAGATTTAAGACAAGGAAAATTGCAGTTTAGTGTGAGAAAGACGTTTCCTATTGAATCCATGAGTGTAAAGTGGACTTTCCTGTCGTCGTCGGCCAGAAAAATGCGACTCGCAAGTGGGTTAATATTACCCGTGGCCAATTGGTTACTTAACGATCGTGTATTCCCATTCTGGGTTTGGACCCGTAGTCCGTTTAAAAGTAGGAAAAATATAGAGACCGATGGCAAACGTGAAAATTGTGTTCTGACTTACATCGAACCAAGTGAGAACAAATGGAAAGTGAAGACCTATATTGCTACTGATCGGTGTAGTCAGCAGTGCGGTACAGTCAGTGTACTGTGCAGGTGCAAGTTTTAGTGGCGACTACAAACAGCACAGCTAGTAATAACAGCACCTTCATCAACATCAATCATTTGAACCGATGCTTCACTGTCATGCAACCACAATGACCTATTGGGCGAAGAGGGAGAACAGGTACCTGAGGATAAAACCCTAACGACTCAAGTAAAAAGATTCAAGGTCGAAAAGCCTACGAGTTGCTAACAACATAATGTCACAAACAACTGGCTATCGTGCAAAGATAAGGCTGCATCGGCGACAAAGCTTCCTCGAAGCTTTCACCGCCCCACGTCAGTGTTAAAGTGGAAAGTGAGAAGAACCAAGAGTACCGTTATTTCAGTCAGTTACTTCATGTGCCGATGCATAGGCCCACCTACGTAAACAATGATCTAGCATACGTATGACGTACCCAAGCCAACATTACTTATGCAGTCCTATCTGTAGTTCTAAGGGACGGGTCTGGTTATCACTGCTTATGCACATAATCGTGTGGACACCCTGGTGCCATCCGCGACACCACCAGTGTTGCACAGACAGAGATAATCAAAGATTTGGAGAGGCCTCAGATCTAAGGGGGCCAAAGTATCACTTCGGAAGTAGCACGGCCGACTGTGGCTTAGTAAAAGCAGCCTTTTAAACCGAGGGAAACTCCTTTCAGATGCCAGATTCAAAAAAGGCAGTTTTAACCTTTGTAATACGTGGACTGACTTCAGTCGTTATCCACCCATTGTTGCCGATGCAGCCACCACCTGGAGCTTTCGCTATCAAAGGATCATCAAGTAGCTGGTGGTCTTGTAGCAACAATTTGCATTTTGAAGGTGCGAAGCGCATGCCCACGAGGTTATTCAGGGTTGAATGGGATGCACCAACATCGTACGATCAAGAGTAACTAGCTTTTCATCAAGCAGTACCTCAACGCCTGCATCGAGAGGCTCCGCAAGGGAACACTGCATGATGGAAATTGAACCAAAGTGGTGAAATTGGACAACTTTAGCGAACGCCACTTGTTGTCGGAGATAGCAAGGTAAATCTTGACGTGGCCTATGGTGTTCGTGTTCAGAAATTTCATGGAAATATTTCCTTAAAAGTATTCCGAACAGAATCGATCGATCGACTGAATCGAACGCTTTTTGTAGTCTTAGGACACAGTTATCTGTCTGTGGTACATGTGGCGCAGTCATAGCACAAGCCTGGGAGTGAATATATTTTCAATGCAGCCCCGTCCTTGGTGGAAACCTGCTTGCGCTTCCCTAATCCGGAAAGACCATTCCGCCGTGAGGCAAGGAACTAGAATTGAGGTTACAATTTTCATATCACCGCTGTTAGACTCTGATATCCCTGTGATGATAGCAGCGAAGAGCAGTATGGGCCGGTATCTATCTGGGATAATGAATTAAGTGTTTCATACAACCAGATTGTATCACTTGAGTAAGGGATACATGTATAAGATTTCAACTCAAATCACACTTGGAAATAAGTCCTTATGAAAATGCTGATAAACAAAAAGATGAGGGCTCGAGTTTATGGATGTATATAGTGATGAGCAAAGGACACTGAAGGAATGATGCCGGAATTTGGAAAAGTACATCGTGGCATGCACCTAGCACATACTTTATTCCATCCCGTGAATACTGTTTAAATCGATAGATAAATACACCAGAATACAGATAAAAACCGCTGGTTCTACAGCAAGAGAACTCAGTTTACAGTACATACACACGCAGTGTGTAAGTTGACAGCGTGATAAGATCGACAAAATTTTACACAAAAAATAGGTTAATGCTCATGTAGACCTGACAGAAATGCGAGTTGTCCTTCTGAACATAGATATTACATGTTAAGCGGTTTTGGTGGAGGGACCTTTTTACCAATCAAGGACTTGTGGATATGCGGAATCACACCACCACCAGCGATGGTTGCCTTGATGAGGGTATCCAACTCTTCGTCCCCGCGAATGGCGAGCTGTAAATGTCGAGGAGTGATGCGTTTCACTTTCAGATCTTTGCTCGCGTTTCCAGCTAACTCCAACACCTCAGCCGTCAGATATTCCAAGATTGCGGCTGAATAGACCGCTGCTGTAGCGCCAACACGGCCATGGCTCGTCGTCCTTGTTTTCAAGTGCCGATGGATACGGCCGACAGGAAACTAGAAGGGGTTGGACAAAAGCGTTAAGTTGATGGAGCCATCATAGCAAACAGAAGCGTAAGAATATCCTGTTTCTACTTAATCAAACTTGCCACGTGAAAGTGGCTCAGACGTGGAAACTCAGTACCACGCATGGAAGGACACTGGAGTGGAAATAAAGCACGGGGAAAGGCACACAGTTAGCATAAACGGGAATGAGACACCGATATCCAGGTAGCTTGAACATGATACAGAGGTTTGGTATAAATAACCGTTGGATGACAAAAGTGTTCAAAGTTGTTAGAGCGAAAGGTACTTAAGAAAGTGTCACAGATCGGTCAAGCAACTCAGCACGATTGAAACGGTTGTACTGTGAGGGATAGATAAACGCTCTAACAAACACCCGAAAATCCAGAAACGAAAGTGTGCAGATGTTTCCGATCATAAGGGCACTTAATACAATGTACCGACCAGGTGTAGGATGCAGGTAGTCCTAGCAAATCTTTCGGTCTAACTTGAAGGGAGTGTTGAGTTGAACCCACGTTTCATGCAATGAACGCGCCAAAATGTCAGTGAAATGGATGTGGCCAATGCACAAGGGCGAATGATCGCGCAATTAAATATATCATTGGAGCTTTAAAACACTTAATTAGCCTGTATAACAAAAAATGCCGAACTGTGGACGAAGGGGATCTGTGACTAATACCAAGAGAACTAATGCCTGGGCATGAATGAGCGCAAAGCTAACATAATCAAAACGAGTGGCTTAGGGGAATAGCAATTCCAAACGAAAAGAGAGAAGTATGGTTAAGTGAGACAGCACAAAATCTAGTCGATGCGCATAACCGCGTGCTCGACTCCATCGTGCTTAAACCTGATACTGACCAGCTGTGAGCAACGTGTGAATGACATTCAACTCTTGGAGCCACTAGAAGCGAGTGACCAATCAACGAGTATACCAGGCTGGAGCTGCTGCCACCGAGTCAATTCCGCTGGAGCTGGCCTTCAAGTATTGGAAGGCGGATTTTGACGGCTTCATATGAGCCGGGATCCAGATGGACTGGTAGTTGCCAAAGGAATCATTTGTTAGGTCTGCTGGTTAAAACCGTGGTGAACTCGATTTGCATCCTTTAGGTGTCAGAAAATCAGACAGTCGACGGTGGCGAAGAGCACAGAACAAATACGTGTTGTTTGGCTTTGAGGAAGATTATGATGCGCAAAGGACAGTGAAATCTCTAAAACGCTAAAACACGAGAGCGCCGAAACTTCGAAGAGTAGATTGCACTCACAGCAAAGACGGATCTCAAGATGATTTTCGCCTACATGAAGCGGCGCCTGAGGACTACAGGCAACGTGGCAGTGTTGAATTGCGCAGACAGGCAGTCCCTAACCTCGAGCACTGATCATGCGTCTGCATCAGCTACATCCTTTGCTTTATGTATTCGCAAGTTCAACGGGTACTACCCCTACCGAACAAGACAGCCTGGATTGCAGCATTGAAAAGGTACGCAAGCTGCTGTCCAGTCTTGAAGGGAGCCAGCCTGTCTGGCAAGATGGAATTCACCCACCGATCCTCAAGTAATTATTGGCCACCATCTCGCAGCTACACAGACATCTCATATTGCTGCTTTCATCTAGTATGCACTTCTCGCACGGGGGTTAAGTCGGAAGTAGACAATAATTCATAAACAACTATTCGGATGGAGAAAAGTTGTATGTGCATGACGGTTTCCCTATATCCGTAAGTATTCTCTCCCAAATCCTATCTCATCAAAACCATTACTTCCTGTCACTTAGGCGCTCACTCAAGCACCCGCCCGGTGCAATAGGAAGCGTGCAACAACGGATGCTGGAACGTGTGCACTTTACTAGACCGGAACATGAGTGAGCGTCCCAAAGACACGCTATCTGACTTAAGTGTTGGCTATGTGGTTCAGCCACCACACACGGGCGATGGACCACAAGCAACGATTCTCGAAGACAGACAGTCGACGTAGGTCATCGGTAAGAGCAGGCCAAGTCTATCAACCGTACAACAGTACAGCGCGAACAGTAGCACTATAAACCAGCCCTTTGATGGAGAGACGGATGTCATGCCAGCGTCATAAACGCCTAAGCCTGGAGGAGAGACGAGCACTTTAGATACGCATCGAAATCTCGTTTCCAACGGCCCCTTAGCAGTTATGCAGCATCTCAGGTAGACAAAACTGTACTAGTTCTAACGTTTCCTCATCGATAGTAAGTACAGATAGGGGCGTATACCAGTCTTGAATGTGCTCCATGCTGAGGTTGATGTTGCATTCTTGATGCTTCATCACCGCAGTTGGGCTAAACTAACTTACACTTAAACTAGGTCTTTTTAAGCTAGATAGATTTCATCCCACTTTATTTGGTTTATTCTGCTTACCTGAATTATCTTCTATTAACTGGACACATTGCTTACGCTAATTGCGTTTATCTTCGGTAACTTTGTTGCGTTTGTAGCATTTTTAAGTAACCTGTGGACATTTTTCACTTATCGCGGATTCGTTGCTAACTTCATATGCTAATTTAGCGAAGAGTTATGCCACTGTATCTGTATGCATCATTCGATTTATTTTATTTCGCCTTGTCGTTTCAAATGATTGGCTGTTGCTTGATATCCCCGATGTGGCTGCGCTTGATGTGCATGTTGACAAGGTGCCTACCTGTCTATTACCCACCACCTCGTCCATACTGGCTCTAGGAGACAGTTGGTCGTTGCTAGAGGGGACGGGGTGCACGGTCCTTGTGGCCGTGCTAGGCTCGAAGAGTGATTCCGTGCACTCAGTGTGGAGCGGACTACGGTCCAGCCACCGCCTTGTGTGCGTTTGATTCCCCAAATACAGCGTGCTTGTGTTTGCCTGTGAAGGAGTGTGGGCCGGCTCTGTTGATGAAACGTGGTTCCCATCCGCATGCTTCCCGGTCTTATTCCTTCGGGTTTACACTGGATATGGGGTGTGTGGATGGAGCTGTGTGTGGTGCAGCGCAAGCCACCCATAGTCCCTCTGTAGGCGCCGCAGGCGTCCTGTGACTGGCCACAGTGACAGACAAATCCGAATGCCCTCAACCATACCAGTCTTGAAAAAGCGCTTTGCACTTGGATGGCGAAAAGTGCATGCTATACTTCGACGTTTCAATCGCCAGGCGGTTGAGTGCAAGTTGGACGGCCTGAGGATTGTAACCTAACATGACGATATCATCAGCGTAATCCAAATCAATCAACCGAATACCTGGGAGGAGCTAAACGCCAGCGCTCAACAAGTCTTCTAGATCATTTTTGAGGATACCATTAATGGCCAAGTTGAAGAGGAATGGGGAGAGAGGGCATCCTTGTCAAACCGCATTGGCGACAACAAAGGAAGACGAAAGCTTGCCAAAAGTCCTAACTCTACCTGAGGTCAGATTATACAGAGCACCCAGGATAGAAACGAACTTCCCGGGAATAACATTCCTCAATAGACATCACCACAATACAGCCCTGTCGACAGAATAGAAGGCAGCACGGATAGCCAGCAACACAACAATCATTGGCTTTCGATACACATGTCGGAGTTCGAGAAACTGGTGTTGATATTGGTTCACTCAGTGAAATGACTCGCTGACCTGTAACCTGTACGAGGATAGTCCTGGGTACACATTCTACTGGGTAGGAAACGACACCACAGCGCCATGTGAACATGGGGTTGGGTTTGCACGTTCCGATCGCCCAAATGGCCCGTTGATGAGAGCAGATTGGCATGAGCCCACGAGTGACGAGTCTTCGTCCATATCTCACGTCGCAAATTTGCAACATTTATTACGTAAGGCTCAGAGAGAGAAGCAGAAACATGACGCTTCAAGTAAACAATCGTTTTTGATTAATTCGTCCGCAGGTTTATACATTAATATATGATAGGATAAGGTTGGTTGTCATTGCCCTTATAACAAGGAATCAACCGGTTAAATAATTTAACTTGTAATCATGATGCTAATCAGCCTATCACATTATTGAGATCAGGTGATCTTGCGGTGTGGTTAGTTTGACTTCGGTATTATCCAAAGTTCTCGAGAAGGTTGTGAAAAAGTGTCTGCTGTCGTTCTTCGAATCGATGGACGTATCGACGCCAGCGCAACACGGCTTTACGAAAGGGCGATCCTGCATCACCAACTTGATGTACGCAAACCACCAGTGGGTTCGAGCTCTCAATGAACAGAAGAATGTTGACGTGGTCTACATTGACTTTAGTAAGGCGTTTGACAGAGTGAACCACGAGGTACTCCTTCGTAAACTGAGGACATACGGAATCGGTAGCACGTTACTTCAGTGGATACAAGAGTTTATTGTGGGACGAAGGTTTAGAGTACAGGTCAATGACTATCTGACAGAATGGTTCCCATCGACCAGTGGCGTGCCTCAAGGAACTGTACTTGGGCCAGTATTATTTCTCATTCATATCAACGATCTTCCGCAGCAGCTCCAGTCACCATGTGCCCTGTTTGCAGATGATTTGAAAATCTGGAGGATCATTGAAGACCAGGACGACTGCGCTCGCCTCCAGCATGACTTAGAGCGACTGTCAACGTGGTCCACTGAAATGCAACTCCCTCTTAACGCAAGCAAGTCGGAGTTCATCAGTATCACCAGACGTCCAGCCACTCGATCATACACCTTGGACGGCCAGTTGCTCCATCCCAACACATCTGTCAGAGACTTAGTAGTTCTCTCACGACATGATTTAAGATCACTAGAAAATACAGAGAAATTGTACCGTGCGGGACTTCGTATGCTCTAGGCATTAAGACGCAGTTTCTCCACATGGTCCGAAGAAACCGTCCCTCGTCTATTCACCTCGCTCATTAGACCAATCCTTGAATACGGTGCCCCAGCTTACCATCCGATAACCCAATGGGAAACTGAAAAGCTGGAGAAAATACAGCATATCGCAACTAGAATGATACGAAGTCTACGAAAGCTTTCGTATGAAAAACGTTGTGAAAGGCTCGGACTCTACACACTATCC